TATATATATATATATACACACACACACACACACACACACACACACACACACACACGTACGTGCAAGGTATGAGGTAGACACAGTAGAGACCAGCTCAGTGCAAATATACGAGGTGTGTGTAGTAATTAGTAATGTGCGAGGAGGCAAGTTACCTTGGTAGTACAAATGACAAGAGACAGATGGTAATAGACCTCTGTCTTGAAATGACCCACAAGCACTTTCTTTTTTCTTTTTTAAATGAATCCACGTGTCATGAATAAAAATCACAAAGTTTGTGAGTGATTCCAGCAATGAAAAAGATGTCTGAGCTTGTCCCCTGTTTGATCATGGCTGAAGAAGACCCAGAAAAGGTCAGATGTAGTTTTTGCAGTCATCACTGGCACTTGCATAGATGTCAAACAGTGAAGTCAGTGGTCACGTTTTGGTGTTCACGTGGGTCTGGACATGATATTTACACATTTAGGCTGAGAGGAACTTCAGTCTTACATTGTGAGTGTGATTATTGACAGTTCTGGGACAATTTATCCCAACGCTTTTTTTTTTTTTAAGCCTAACCAAAGTACCTGGTTATTTAACATGCAATGTTTGCATCTGGTTTGAATGCAAAAAAAAAAAATCTGCCAGCTTCACCTGCAGCTATGAACATTGCACTTAATAGTTCAAGCAAAATTTAGTCTTGAGTAATAAAATGTAAATTAAATAGGCCTAGCCATTAAACTTTGGCGCTTTGTTGGTCAAGTGCATTTTTCTGTGCAGTCTATTTTGTTGTTTCTTTGTTCATAAACACACATACACAATAATTTGATCAGTTTTTTATGGCAAAAAAGGGCTTGGTGATTAGTTAAAGTGTTAATCCAGAGGAACAGAAGCGCTAGGAAGCTGATTTACACCATATACAGTGTACACACTGTCAGTAACCGGAAGTACGTATTTTCTTTATGTCTAACATGGACAATAACATTACAAAGATAAATTACATGAAAAGACGGAAGATAATAGGAAGATGTTTTGTGTAATACAAGCCCATCCTGTTTACTGTCCTTTTTTTTGTTTCGCGTTAATTCCTGTATTTAGTACCTCATGGGTATTGTAGTCTTTTAGCGCGAACTTTACGCGGAGCCTATAGTAACAAAAACTACATTTCCCATCATGCTTGTGGTCCTCACAGCGCCGCTAGGACGCTTCATAAGCGAGTTGTTTTTTTTGGTTTTTTTCTGCTGTTCGAAATCTGCAGATCGTCAAGAGGAAGCTCACAGGTAAACTTATCCTGAATCCTGTCTTTCTTATTGTGAAACTGTATAAATAAGCGTTTAACGATACCGATTCCTTGGTAAAGGTGTTTTAGTAGTCAATAGTGAAATTAGTCAATAGTGAAATAAATGGTTTTAGATGTAAACTTAAAAGGACAGCGTTAAAAAAACGAATAATGTAACTGGAATTAAATAACCAGCTGTATGACAGTAGATGATTATATAACTCTGTATATACATATATATCAATATTTTAGGCATTTGAGGTTTGTCCAGTATAAACTGCTGATTGTCTGGTGATGTAGCCAAAACAGCCAGTTTCCCTCAAGATGCCTATAATATATAAAATGATTTTAAAAAATAACATTTCTTCATGTAAAAGCTTGCCTTTTCTCTGACTGGTGCCATAGAGAATCATCTTAGTGTGTCCCTGGTCATGATCATGTTGTTTACCTATCAGTAAATGAGGTGAACAGTCAAAGTCAAGTTCAACCTTATTACTAGTTAGCAGATTATCAGATTACAGGTGTTTACATCAGACACTTTCTATCAGACATTAAACAGAGCAGTGCATTATGTGATGGGAAAAGTTAATGAGGAAGTATAGGTTTCTCGTCCTTGCTCTGTAGGAACTTCCCCTTAGACGTGTTTGGACGCTTGTCCTGGTGGGCCTCAGAGGATGTCATTAAATACTGTAATGTAGGAAGGAGAAAGAAAACAGGACATATTTGTGGTCTCGAGTGAGATCACTCCGGTGTGTTTCTGTATGATCAGACATCGGTACAGTTTGGGGAATTATTTCCCCTGCTCTAAACAGTCCTAGATATTAAATAATGAGCACATTAAATGAAATGTGCTGAATGTTTTGGGGATTTTGTCAACCAGCTAGATGTGACTATGAAATAGATAAAGAGCAGATTTTCTACCACCAGTAAAATTCTAAATTATTCCATATTCAGATATTATTATAATTAGTAGTAGTAGTAGACAGGTGTCTATGTTACAGAGCCTAAAACTCTTATTTCTGACTTGCAGCATCATTAAAATATTGTGCTAATAAAATAAAATTAAATAAAATTTAAAAAATAATAAAAAACACATTTTCCTGTACCTGTTTTCATTTAACATTTGGGCTGAGAAAGATACAAGTTAGACGGTATTTTATAAGTCAGCTGTGCTTCTGCTGCCATCCAAATGGGACAAACTTCTTTTTTTTTAAGATATAAATACATACTTTTTTTTTAATTATTAACCCAGAGTTCTGGAAAATTTTGGAAACTAGACTTAGATGTCTTTATCCCTGCAAAAAAAAAAAAAAAAAAATGCTGCCAACCTAGGCAACCATTTTCCCAATGGATTGCAGGGGTAATGATGATATATCTTAGCAATCAAGATAACAATATAATGAATATATTGTACAATATATAATATTATATATTATTTATAAACAATATATTGTATAATTGTGTTATATTAATATTATTATATTCCCTGGCTCAAAAAAGGATCCTTTTATGCCTTATACATTTATTATCTTATTATTAAGTCAGTATATACAGTATATTTTAAAACTTGTAGTCATTCTTATACTATAGCTAACGTGGGAATTCGTGACGTATCTGAATAACCAAAAGTGATATGAATAAGTTAGTTATAGAGAGATATCCTTGTCTATATATGACATTTGTTTTTCTGGTCTCTGATGGCTTGGATAGATAAAAACTCAGCGTGGAGGCCAGTAAAGCGCTCCTATGGTTGCTAATGAAAGAAGATGAAAGAACATGATTTGGGAAAGGACTGCCTGGCAGCAGGTCCTGCGTACAGGGCCGTTCCCTCCAGAGAGGTTTTACCAGCAAATGAAGTGGACCACTATCAGCTCGCCAACGTCCAGGTCAGTGTGAAGTGTTAAACATCTGTTAAAGGGCTCCTGAAATGTTTCCATGTTTGTGTCTGGGCCTGATTGTGTTCTCAGCGTAAGTGTCAGTTTTAGGGATGTGGGATGATGCTGACGCAGTCATACGCTGTTAGTGCTAAAGAACATACAGCTGTTGTTTTGTGTTTGGACACCATGTCCCTCCCTCGCATTGTTGTCCGCTTTCACCAATCAGCAATTAGTCAGCATGTTAAGCGAGGGTCTTCTGTTGCCCTTTTTCTCTTTGTCTTGCACTGTCAAGCCTATCTCTCTCTATCTCTCTCTCTTTCTCTCTCCCCACCGTTCAGTATTCCACTGGGGCTGCCCGGCCGGATTCTGATTGGCTGCTTTCTTTCTGCTGTGCTCAGTTGTTTACATAACCTGAGCCCGCCCTTTCTGGCACCAACTGCCAATGGCATTGCAGAGTTGCAGTGATACGTAGAGCAGCCTTGGCAACCGATAGGTCGATCCTCCCCTCCCTCTCTCTTGCCTGAGGAGGCTGTGCAACGTGACCATGTTTGAGAAAGGAGGAAAGAGAACAGGAGGAAAGAATGAGGAGGGATTGAGGGACGGTGAAGGGAGGGGGCTGTCCTTGCACTGCAGAAAGCATTTTTTTAAGCGTTTTCATTCAGAAAAGCCAGGAATGCAGAACGTTCCCTTTTTTTTGCTTTTTGCTGCACAGCATTTGTGCATTTGCATTATATAAGAAAACTATTTTCCTCTAAAGGTTGTACACCAATCATTTTATTATACCGGAAAATTATTTTTCCCCCATTTCTTCTACAGTTGGTCACCTGCCAGTTCCCTCATATAATCTAGCTCATACAGCAGCTACCAGCTGAAGAGCGTGAAGGCTAAACTCATACTTGTTCCAAAACATGTTGTTGTTGTTTTTCTTCTTTCGGCTGCTCCCGTTAGGGATTGCCACAGCAGATCATTTGCATGTTTGATTTGGCACAGATTTTATGCTGGATGCCCTTTCTAACGCAACCCTCCCAGTTTATCCGGGCTTGGGACTAGCACTGAGAGTACACTCCTAGTGGCTGGGTTGGGTCCCTGGCCAGGAATCGAACCCAGGCCTTGGCGGTGAGCGCACAGGATCCTTAGCCGTTAGACCACCAGGGACACTTGCTCTGTGCCATGTGAAATTTTTTAACTGCTGTTCATGCTGCATCACAGGGCAGTGTAACACACTCAGAGGAAAGCGCTATCTACCCTCTTCCACATACATGAGCTCACAGATGCCCATGATTGGTTAATGTTGCTGTGATTGACAGAGGAGAGAAAGTAATGCCATCCCTCCCACCCAGAAAGCATGGCTCTGGTAAAGTCTTTAGCACAGAGGGCTTTGCATTTTCTGGTTTCTCGGTAACAAGACAAGCTGTATGTATGTGTTTTTGTTGTTGTTGTTGTTGTTGTTGTTGTTGTTGTATTAATGACAATGGAGAAAGAAAGAGAGAAAAAGCCGAACCTGCTGAGGGAGCGACTGGTTATAGCTGCTATAACATACATGATAACAGGAGCTAGCTTGTTTCAGGGACGTTCCGCAACATTAGATGTACCTGTAAAAGGTTAAAACCACAGTGTATTGTTTATTAATAAATTAGAAATGGTAATGGTTGGCAAATTGCTGTGGTATAAAAGGAATAAAACACACCAGGATGTGCTGTTGTTGGAAAATGATCAACTTCTTTTGGCTTGCGTTGCATCGCATCACATCACACCACCCCGTCTTGATTATTTTCCTATAATGCCACATCCTGTTGTGTGGTATTCCTTACATATTCAATATTATCACTGTGTTTCATTTGGCAGTAGGCTCCCTAGGTAGGCAACATTTGTTTTTGCCAGTATTTGCATTTTTGAGATGGCTGTCCCATTTAAGAGAGGTAGCATGAGGTCAGCTATCTATTTTGAGTATGTTTAAGGCAGCATTGCATTTATCCTTCACACTCTGAGCGAGACTCGTTTGTGGTTCAGTTCCTAATGAGAACAGGTGATAATATCACAATCCTCATTATTATCATGATTATAATTTTTCACCGAAAAACCAGTAGGCACTATAAGTGTATACTGATCACACCGGCTCACAGCATATCCCCATCTTGGCAGATCTTTTCATTCATGCTCTCATATCATTGCTTTAGATTCTGCTGGTGGAAATTGATACGTCACTCTGGGCCTTTATTTTATGCTGACGTCCTGTCATAGTGCAGTTGTTCTCCAATTGTTGGAGTGACTGAAGTGTCTGGAAAGCAGAGGAAGGTTGCGTGTGGCTTGCGACATCTCCTGCCACGTCGAGAATCCCTCCAGTGAGGGGGAACAAAGCTGTGGCTTTATGCAGCGCATGACAAATTCCAGATAGTCTGCAGTCTCGCGTCAGTGAACTCTGCGGCACACTTTACGCATTGTCATTGTACAAGGAGGTTCTCAGTTGGATCAATGAGCCTCGTTGTTTTTAAGCAAAGTGGCCTGTCGGGTTTAAGGCATCTGCCAGCAGTTCAGGTTAATGAAACTATGACTCACGGATGTGTGTATGATTCATAGATCTCTCTGATTTGCAAGCAAGAGGTAAAAGTACAGAATGCTCCCAGTCATGCTTTGATTTAAAGATTATGAGCTTGTGAGCCAAGTGTAGTCTGTTTTACCTTTTAATCTGACTGGGTACACATTAAAGAACATTGTGTTCCCTTTAGCACCCGGATAATCCTGTTTGCTTTTTCTGCCTTCGAGGGCTGTTTAATGTTTTATCCCTCGGTGCTGTTGAATTCTCAAAAGTCAGGAACTGTTGATTAATTTTCTATACCAGCAGCTCTGACAGTAGTGCCGGCTGCAAGACTATTCATTTATATTAATACGCTCCTTCTAATACATTACCAATTCTATAGTAACTTACACATGGGCTTGTATGAGAGATGCTCCACATAATCTAAGCTTAATAAATGAATTTTAAAAAATGTTGTTATTTAATGAAGAAAAAGTGTCATTGATATGGTGAAGTTTACTGTAAGGAACTGTAAGTTATTTTAACTTATATGGAAGGAGGGTGTAGTTTCTCAGGAAAGTGACAAGCTATGTTTTTTTTTTTTTTTTAATCTTATTAACATGAAAGAAGAAAAGGGAGAGGCTGGTTTAAAGCTGCTGTAAGGTCACTGATAACCGGAACTAACTTTTTTTTTGTTGTACAAGTTCCAAAACATTAACTGCAACTATAAATGATTAAAAAGTATGACATGTCATTTGTTAATAAATAAAAAAAATTGTAATCAATGGCTAATTGCTGTGCTACAAGAGGAATAAAACACTTCAGGATGTGCTCTTGTGGGAAATGAATCAACTTCAGGGTGGTAACAGTAACTCCGTTTTTTGCATTGGTCCACATTACACTACTCTGACATTGACTATTTTCCTATAACAGCACGCCTTGTCATTTTTTATTTCTTACTTAGAGATCAAGCATCATCTTTTCCTCTCTTCTACATGCACACACTCAATGTGTCTTCTGGTCAGAGTAGTTAGTCATAGCATCAGCAGTGTGTGAGGGATGCAGTGTGAGACTTTTCTTTCCACTGGCTGGGTGGAACATTAGCTTTGTGAAGGGTCATTGTGACAGAGACACGTCTCCATCTGTGTCTTCGTGCGAGTATATGACTGCGGCGGTTTTTTAATTACTGCGATTGGCAGCATGCATGCAAAAGAGGAACATATTTTAGTTCAGGTAATCTTGTAGTTTTCAGAACTATATGTTGTAGAAAATGTAAGAATTTCACCATGTGAAGGGTTTTCCCAGGCTGATACACATTTCCAAAGCGGTTCAAAGCATGCAATCGTAGTTACCTTCAAATTGTGAAACATACAGATCCATAAGTATTTGGACAGTGACACAATTTTCATAATTTGCCTCTGTGCACCACCATAATGGATTTGAATTGAAGCAATCGAGATGTGATTGAAGTGTAGACTTTCAGCTTGAATTCAAGGGGTTTAACAAAAATATCACATTGACCGTTTAGGAATTAGACTTTTTTTTTTTTTTTACAGAGTCCCTCCTTTTTCACAGGCACAAAACTAATTGGACAACTGACAGAAAAGTAGTTTTTTTGTGTATAACTATAAGACATGATGTCCTGTTCTAACTGATACAAAAAGTAACCCTTGTGTACTTGCAACAGCCGAAACGAAAATTGATACACACGCATTTGCGTCAGAGATGCTTCTCTAATCCATTTGTAACAGTACAGAAATTCTCAGGAATGGAGCTGTAGTCAATTCTCTCATTGCCAAGTCCAAGACCAGGACTAGTCAAGACCGAGTCTCGAGGCCAAACCAAGATTGAGTCTAAATAACAACAAAACCAAGTTAAGATTGAGACCAAAAACTATCAAATCCTTTTTTTGAGGCCAAGATTTTACTTCAACTCATTGACTTCGTTCATGCATTGCGCCAATGATTAGGCTGTTCTCTAGAAGAAGGAATTGCTTCTTGTCAAAAGTTGTGCATGCACAAATAAAAGACAATCCAAACATTATTTTTTGTACAAACTCTCAGTCGAGACTAAGACTGTATTTACTGTATTTACCATGACCGTATTTAGCAAAAGCAATGCCCAAGACCAAGAGTCCAAGTCCAACTCCAAGTGATACAGAAAACAGTGTACTTTTGACTACACAGGTATTAGGTGGGACATCACTACATAACTAGTACAACATATTTATATACTGTATAAGCGTCAAAGACAGGACATTTCTTTTTTGTGTTTATTTTACAAAGAATTATTAATATGCATAAATAATACTTTTCTGTTTTCTGTCCTAAAAGCATGTTTAGAGAAAAAAGTCAAATTTAAGTAGAAGTTCAAGTGCAGAAGTTCAGAAATATAAAATCTCACTAAATTTACAAATTAATCTGTTTGTCATATGTTTAAGAATAATGCAGTTCTGTAGCTTGGAAACCATTTTTTACCTTTGACCCACAAAATAAAAAGATGAACAAGGTTTTTGTACTTCTTGATTTTCTTATATAGCCCCAACCACTCAACTGAATTAGATACATATTTGTTTAGCCTGCTCTGTTCATAGTTCTCAGGTCTTTACTGTTATATTGTTGTTGTTCCTCTTTCGGCTGCACCAGTTAGGGGTCGTTGGTCCGCGTATTTTGATTTGAAACAGATTTTATGCTGGATGCCCTTCCTGAAGCAACCCTCCCCAGTTTTATCCAGGCTTGGGACCGGCACTGAGAGTGCACTGTTGCATGCAATCCCAGGGGCTGGGGTTAGTTCCTTGGCCAGGATTTGATCCCAGGGGCCATAGCAGTGAGAGCGCACCCAGGGGCCCTGGGTCTTTATTGTTATAATTATTTGAATTATTTTTGTAATTATTATCGTGATAATGTGTCCTGTGGTTCTGATTGTGCACATTCAGCTTTAGCCTTTGTTCCTCCAGGCTTACACTTTCATAATGATTTATAATAGTAAAAATTTGAATGCTGAAAGAAAAACAGTAATTCAGAGAAACTGCTGGCAAACTGACCAGTCAGGCTTCAACCAGGCCAGTCAAGCAGACGGAGTGCTGTAGACGATATTATACTCAAATATAAAGCTCAAATATTATACCACTGCAGTGTGTCACCATCTGCTCTTCTCAAGATAGCCTACAGTAACTTCAAGAATAGAAAGTGCAGATTAGAATCTGATAGAAAGAACAGAGCCGCATTCAAGGACAAGTTTGGTGAAAAATTAAATGTAAACTTTTTTTCATATTTGGCAAAAATTGTTCGTTTTTGACATTTGTACTGCAGCTGCGAAGCTAATATAGCTAATAAATCAGGAAAGCTTATAGCTCCCAGTTTAGCACTATGCAAAAACCATTTGCTCGAGATCAGAAAACAGAAGAATAAATTAATCAAATAAAATTAGAATTGTACAATGATCCAGATCACTTCTGATTCTGAAAATTCTACCCAGTGTGTGGTGATGTAAACATGCAGCTTGCACAGTGCTCCTCCGGAAGAAGAGCAAACTTTAGAAAGCAAACGTCTTGATAGATGGACTAAATTTGATGTAATTGGAAAATTGTGTAAATTTCATTTTTGGCCAAACGATTGCTTCAGAACTGAACGACAGATTA